TCAGTACCAGTTGGCATTTTGCGTGCCCTCTGTTTTGGTCGACTGTGAGGCTCGGGGGTGGGCCGACCACGAGTCGGCGCAGCTGGCACTTCCGGCTGCCTGTCCTCAGGTCTCTCATCCCACTTCCGCTTTCGCGGAATGCGCTCACTTCGACGTTCTTCTGCTGCTCTTGCTGGAGCCGGAGCCGGAGGCGTACTAGCAGGTTCCTCGTCCGGATCCGTGTCTACTTCGGCCTCCCTTGAATATCTACCCGGATAAGTCCGGGTCAGCTGTGGAAACCGTGTTTTCTCAGCATTTGTCAAACATCCCATCGCCCGGTAAAACACGATTAAGTAAGGCGATAGATGATTGAGGGTTCCTCCCTTCTCTTCTTGCGCATGTTGGCGCGTCACCTTCCACAGGAGCCGTGCCCAATGCACTGGAGCTCCTGACAACACTAGCTCCACAAACTCTACCTGCCAACCATGCATGTAAGCGGTCTTGGTCGGCTGCAATATCTGCAGCAATGCCGTCGCGACATTTCTCCGCAATCGATCCTTGTAATCCCGTGTCCGGAAACCGTTCTTGGGATGTGTGGCAACTTTGAAGAGCTCATTGTAAGAGACTTCTTCCTCCTGGGACACCTTCACACTATCGGCCTCGAAGAGGAGATCCCCTTCCTGGCCGGCACACCTGCCCAACACCTGCGCCCAATTGCAAATGTCCCATCTCTCTGGATGTGGGCGAAATCCGCGAGAAGGCTTGTGTCTCTCCTGCAGATACTCGCGCACCATCTCCGGACATGTCCAATTCCACCCCCATAGGAGAAAATCGAGCTTCAGCCTCAGCAGCACATCTTGAAATGCGCGTAGACCGATCTGTGGCACCCTGAGTGGAGACACTCGCAGCTGGGGAACCTTCGACATTGCGTTGCCTGCACACACAAACGTTCTCCCTTTCGCTCACTCTCTCACAATCGCCACTGCGCGTCTGCCGCTCAAGCTCTGACTGCTCACCCTCTCGGCGCTCAAGCTCAAGGTCGCTACTCGCAATTCTTTCAAGGTCCGCCAAGATCCTTGCGCAACTCGTCTCCGCACTCTCTTCTCTCACTGCAGGTCGCTCCGCCCTTGCGCGTAATCTTGGAAACTGGAAATCGCAAAGTCAAGAATGAGAGAATGAGACTGGAGCGCAGTCTTTTCTTCTCCGATTTCAAGAACGTCCAACGTTCTTACTGGTTACAACGTACGCAGCCGGCTATACGGCTTAACGGTTCGCCCTTTGCATGCGCGAATTCACGTCTCCGCACTGCGCTCATTCGCATGCTTAAACGTTGAATTCTCCCGCCGCCGCCACCTTCCGGACTCGAGTCCGCTGCAGGGTATACGTCGGCCCTGTTGTCTTTTCCTAACCCGCCCTTCTCCGGAGGCGTGTCGCCGCTGGTGCGTTCATTATCCGTCGGCGCTTTGCTGGAGGCGCACATCCAGTCGGAGCGAATTTCGCCAGCGCGCAGTCGTACCGCTTATTTTGTCCTTTATGCCTCGTCCGTTGCTGCCGGCGCATATCCGCCAGCGCAACTCATGCCAGCGCATCCGGCCGTCAGCGCCACGTCGGAGGCGTACATCCGACCGGCGCTTTCCTTCCATGAACAGCCGCCAAAGGCGCTTCCGACTCTGAGTTGGTTTCCTCCTATGAGCGCGTGATTCCGCCGAAGGCGCATCGCCGAGGGCGTAAGGGAATCCTTTCCGGCTGTGAACCCTAGCGCGAACGGCGCATGTCCGGCTACGAGTTTTCCGACGCTCATAACTTCTCCATTCCTGATCCATCTCCGACGCTCTTGGGCTCGTTAGAACGAGCGTCCCGAGCTCTTTCTAATGCGACTTCAACCAACTGGATCTACTGTGTATCCCGATTGTTATGAAGGTTTTCCCTTTCCGCGCTAGCGGCGCTCCGCCGAAGGCGCACTCATGTTCGGATGCCTTTAGAGGTCCGGGCCCTTCTCCTGACGTCTTTAGCAAAACCTCCTCCTGAGGTGTCTGCGCCGGAAGCGTAGCTTCCTTAAACGCTGGAGGCGCGTGAGTAGAGACACCTCAGAAAAGGAGCTTTTGCCGAAGGCGCCGAAGACATTGGCGTTGGTACATCCGACCGGCGTGATTCTTTGTGTCCTCGTGACGATCTCATCAATCCACTCTATTTAGCGTACCCTTCTCTAGCTACAAACACTGCTTCGGTACTAGTTTTCTAAAATTGTTTAAATTCTGCAAAAAAAACAAAAAGTGTGTTACCACACGGAGTATAGTTTGCACCATTTTTTCTGGCAGCCTAGGCTAGATTCAAACTTTTAAGTTCCGTCACAAACACAAGACTGATGAATCTATTGCTCGTAGCTCACAGTCAAACAACGGAGTTAAGTATTCATTATGTAGGTGGATGTCAGTCTCAGAAATGCATCTGAATATTTTCTTGAACAAATATAAGATATTTTGGAATCTCTTCGTACTTCGTAAATTTTGAATGATTGGAGTACAGCAGAAAAATTTTATTTTGGGAAATAAATGCTGCAGTGCGAGGTCATTTTTCGCTTCTAGGTCTCTCTTTCCTTCTCACATCGAAAATGGAGATTTTTTCCGGTTTTTACTCATGTCGTTTTCATAAACTGATCATTGACTAATATATTAAACTATATTGGCTACATCTGCAGAAATTCGGCATAGTATATTTGAAGACATCATGAACTACTTGATATTATTTTATCATCACAAAAAGACAATTTTGACTTTGATATCTAAACATTCAACGATAGCAGATCTTAATCGAGCATAATCCGATGCCAAGGCCTGGCATGAAGCCCGCCAGTGTGATCTTGTAACACCGTAATTTATAACATTTCAGTTCAACTTCAATGTACAGTAATCTCACGTACGCAGTTTGAACCTGGGATGATTGTGGTTGTGCGTAGTTACCTAAATATTGTTGACTCTAGAAGAATCATTCCATAATCGTTTGACTGAAAACAAACGGAAATCCTAATTTAGTCCCATGGATACAATATAATGAAGAATTTTTGCAATCATACCAGTGAAAAGAGTCTAGAGCAGGTCTCATAAATTCTGGAAAACTTTTCTCTTCAATTCTGGAAATTTGGCAATAACGCTGTTATTTCATTATTTTTCGTCCTATGGCTCGGCGATAATTGCTTTTTAAAATTTCGAATTGCTTTGCAATGTAAATTGCACTTCTGTTACAACCAAGAAAAAACACACAATGATCAAAACAAACATGTATAAATAATAGGAAGTAAAAAATATTATATTTAAGATATGAACTGTACCTGGATCCTTCTGTTCCAGCCAAAAATTATGCACAACAATGAAAACAAACATGATACAAAAATGACATGAAAGAAAAAACTGAAATGTACCTAAACCCTTCTAATTAGCCAAGAAAATGCTCACAATGATAAAAACAAACATGCAATAGAAATTATATACAAGTGAAAAAAAATGAATTTCAAACTTTATTTTTCTTACTTGTATCCTCCTTTCATGAGCAACTTGTTCTCCAGTGTTGAGTTACTACAACTAATAATTTGAACACCTGTTAACAACTTCCTGTCATGTTAGAAGCAGACTGTGGTTTGGGATCAATAATTCACCAGAAAATTCAATCTCATGCTCTCATGGTTGTCTTGGGAGCACTCATTCCTACCGTAACACCCTCCTCCCCAACTTCCCCTTGCATTCACTTTCCACTCTTGAGTTCCTAGAACTAAGAATTTGAGCACCTTTTAACAACTTCCTGTCATCTTAGAAGCAGAATGTGGTTTGGGATTCCAAGTTCACCATCAATTTCAATCGCACGCATTCATGGTTTGTCTTGGGAGCACTCATTCCTACCATAACACTCTCCTTCCCACCTTCCCCTTGCACTCACTCACGAGAATTATTGTGAAAGTATTTATAATGTATGTAACTTCGTCTAGATTAATTCGGCAGATTGGCAAGATTAATTCAGGCGTCCAAAAATTAGAACCATAGATTTTAGGAGGTCTGGTCTAGGGTGCCAGTGTGCTTGTTAGTACATCAACCATGAGAGATGTGTGGTACAAGGGTACATTCTAAAGGGATCTGGGTTAATATATGATGATTGTTAGTTTCATCCATGTTGAAGACATGCTTTACGTTTAGATTTACAAAATACGTTCTACCAATCTCCCTATTCCGCTATCTTTTGGCGAAACTAAAGAGTATTGTATTCAGCTTATTGATTCCGAAAACGGATTTTCAGACATCTTGTTGTTGACTAAGTCAATTCACAAAGGGCCAAGGAACCTGTAGATGAACTCTACGCGCTTATCACCTATTATGATTTTGGAAACGTGTACAATATAGTTGAGATCTGTTTGTTTTGATATATAAACCACAAGAGGAAAGGAAAAATTTCCAAAAGCTGGATTTTCAAACACAAGAATCTTCAATATTTAACTCAAATGAAAATCTATGAAATGTTAAAATAAATAAATCTCAACACTATTTTTGGAAAAATAATGACTGCTTTGCCGGGATGGTACTTAAGCCAGAGGCTACTGTAAACGCCACTGCTAACTCTAGAATCTTGGAAGTGTACAAGTTATTTGCTTCTCGACTTCCATGCTTCCTGATTTAAATCGAAAACTGTCATAATCAAAAACAGTCGGTTATCTCACAATTCATCACAATTTATATCGATGCAAATCGTAACTATTAACTTTTCAATTTCCTAATCAATAGATGGGGCATCCAGCTTCAGAGGCATCCAGGCGAGAAAGGATTCGTCAGCGCTGGGAATCGGGCTCGCCCCACGGTCAGTGTCAGCAGCAGGCGAATTAATATTTTGCGGTGGCGATCCAATAAGAAGAGGTGGTGCATCGTAGGAAGGCAAGATCAAGGCAGCGTCGACTGACTCACGAGTTACCATAGCGAAGGAGACGAGACCAGAGCGCGAGAGCCGAACAGTAATACGAAGAAAAACAGCGGCGAGCGAAGATGGTGAGGATGATGAGAATGCTCGTGGATCAGGGACGCAGGACGTCGCAAAACCTGCAATGGGTGCGCCATTTGACGAACAACACGGATCTCAAGTCGCGATTGGAGCAGTTGATCCCCGAAGAGCAAGCGCGCTTGAAGGATTTGAAGTCCAAGTATGGCAAAAACTCGCTGGGCGACACCACCGTCGACATGGCGATCGGTGGCATGCGCGGGATCAAGGGCATGATGTGGGAGACGTCTCTGTTGGACGCCGAGGAGGGGATCCGCTTCAGGAACATGACCATCCCCGAGTGCCAGGCCAAGCTTCCAGCGGCGATGCCCAAAGGCGAGCCTTTGCCCGAAGGCCTGTTCTGGTTGTTGGTCACTGGCGAGGTTCCAACCAAGGAGCAAGTCAGTGCATTGACGCAGGAATTCCAGGACCGATCGCAAATTCCCCGACACGTCTTCGATGTGCTTGACGCCTTGCCAAAGACAGCGCACCCCATGACGCAATTCACCGCCGGCATCCTCGCTCTCCAGACCGAGAGCGAATTCGCCCGCGCTTATGCGAAGGGTATCGACAAGCGCAAGTACTGGGAGCCCACTTACGAGGATTCCATGAACCTCATCGCCAGGTTGCCAGAAATCGCCGCCTATGTTTACCGGAGGACCTACAAGGGCGGCGAGACGATTGCGGCCAACTCCACTTTGGACTATGCTGCCAATTTCGCGCACATGCTGGGCTACGAGGACCCCAAATTCCACGAGCTCATGCGTCTGTACCTGTCCATTCACTCCGATCATGAAGGCGGGAATGTGAGTGCGCACACTGTCCACTTGGTGGGCAGTGCGCTGTCCGATCCTTATCTTTCTGTAGCCGCCGGTATGAACGGATTGGCCGGGCCCTTGCACGGTTTGGCAAACCAGGAGGTCTTGCGATGGATTGAGGACATCGTCCGAGAAATCGGCACCGACGTCACCACGGAGCAACTCAAAGAGTTCATCTGGAAGACTTTGAAGAGTGGCAAAGTCGTTCCGGGTTATGGGCATGCGGTTCTCAGGAAAACTGATCCCAGGTACACTTGCCAGCGTGAATTCGCTTTGAAGCATCTTCCGAACGATCCCATGTTTCAGATGGTCTCCAAACTCTACGAGGTCGTTCCTCCCATTCTTCTGGAGCTGGGCAAGGTCAAGAACCCGTGGCCCAATGTTGATGCGCACAGCGGAGTTTTGCTTCAATACTACGGACTCAAGGAAGCGAACTACTACACAGTTCTGTTTGGTGTGTCCCGGACGATGGGTGTTCTGTCTCAGCTCATATGGGACCGCGCGTTTGGCCTACCCATCGAAAGGCCCAAGAGCATGACCATCGAATGGATCGAAAACTTTTGCAGAAAGCAGGCAACCAAGTGAATCGATCGCCCATGCCAGTCCAGCATAAGCAGGGTGTTGTACTGATATTCTGCACGTGTCTTAGCAAAGGTTTAGTGCACAGTCGATCCTCTCCAGTTGACAGATTCTGTACGAAAGATTAGCTAACCGGCCTCAGCACGAATGTGCTGCGTGTTCCTCTCAAACTCTGTTTTTGTTACGCCCGAGGAACTTGGAGTAGTGATAGACGATTGTTGTGTATATGGTGTCCCAGATTCTAGCAGAGTGAGGTTTAGTTTGATCGATAATCACTGAATTGCTCGTGGAAACTTCAGTGAAGAATCTTGTACGTTACGAACTCGTGACTCGGAGTTCACAAAGCGTTCGGATTGTGTATGGTGGGAATTATTCAAAGATTCCCGAGAATAAAAGGAGCTCTAAAATTTGAATCAAAGATCTTTTAAACCAATCAGAACTTTTTTTCAGTTGATACGGATTGCGAACGTATTAAAATTACGGATTTGATTTTCGAGTTAATCAAGAGGTGCTGCAGTTGGTGGTGAGGATGGATTACAAGCTCTTTCGTAGCCTTTCTGATCGAGTTCCATCGATCGAGAGTCACGCTCATGGACTCACTCTGTTCCAGTCGAGGAGTCTTCGAAACACCATGAAGTGGGGAAACTTCAGCATGGGACCTCCAAACTACGGAAGGACGAGGTAGATCGAGTTCAACGCACACGTAGACGAATTACGTCAGATCATTGTTCAAGACACTGAAGCTAGAACAAAGATCCGCACTCGATCTCATGGGTGACCCAATGCTCATGGATTTTACGAACGAAACGACCATAGATGCTCTTCCACTGCATATCTTCATGAATATTTTGGGAAGACTTCACTGGGTCGACTGCCTGCGATGTAAATTAGTTTCTCATTAGTGGAACTCCCTTCTCAAGAATGCTCTTCTCAGAAGTCAGAATTCGGTGGCAATTTCGTCTTGCGAGGCAGATGGGCCGTGTTTGGTGGTAGCCAACAAATATCACATTTTTGTCAAAAGAGCCGCCAGCATTTCGCATCTTCCGGTTTCTGGCAGGAAGATATGGAACCAGCTCCCACTGACAAGTCCCAGCTCACACCCTACTTCCGCCCAATGGAGGTTGATCGCCACGACAAAGGGTCTATTTCTCATGTCCGCTGGACACAATGAGCGCAAGTACTTCTTATGCAACCCAATCACCAGAAGAGTCCAAGAATTGCCTCGTCTACCAAAACTGTTAGTGAGTGCTGAACATCAGCTGCTAGGGACATACATCTTGAGGTCTGTGGAAATGGTGACTCCAATGGGAACTGGCGGTACGGAATCCAGATTTTGGCCGAAGGTGATTGCCTTCGAGCGTTATTCTGCTGGACGGGGATCTGATATCCTCAACATGTGGAGGTTTCTACAGTACGATGATAACTCCAGTTCTTGGCAAGTGGTTTCCATGCTCTACAACTGTTCCATCAAACTCAAGAAAGTGACCACGACTGTGAGACTTGTACCCGATGTTGATGATTTCGACCTGGATATTCGAGAAGGAACTCAAGATTTGCTGCTGGAAGAGAAGAAGGTCAAGCTCAGAAACTGTGTTACGGTGGGAGGAGATACATTCATCCTCTTGACCTCCGTGAAAGGACCAAGCCAAACGCCAAACTCCTCAAACACCGAATTCATTTTATACATCGAGGAATGGTTCAGCAGTGTCTTGTTCAAACTCAGGCCATACAGCCTCGTAGAAGTCCCGTTGAATGACCTCGATGAGTCACCATATCTGCAATTGTTCCAACATGGGGGAAGCTTATACATAGCTAGAGGAATGGCCGGCAGGAATTTAATGGTGGATATATGGAAACAGGATTCGGAGAGAAATTCGTGGGATAAGGTGACTACAATGCCATACCTTCTAACAGAAGCATTGTACAAGCTCATGCAACCGAGAGCACGTTTTCGACTCCAGGCGGAAGGGGATTATGTATGTTTCTCCAGTGGATACAACTTTGGTTTCATCATTAGATTCCATGTACCGACGAAGATTTGGACACGGCGCGACAATTTCCCTGCTCTGCTCCGTAAATTTTACTCACGTGTTGGGACTCGGTATGCACAAGGCCAGGAGTCGGACAATAGTTTGCAGCATTTTTTCTGGCAACCAAGGCTAGATTCAAACTTTTAAAATCCCTCACAAACACAGGACTGGCGAATCTATCGCCCGTAGCTCATAGTGAGACAACAGAATTTTTTTATTATTATGTATGCTGATGTCATTCTCGAAAATCCAGCTGAAGATTTTGTAAAACAAATCTCACACATTTTGGAATATCTTCGTACACATGTAGTTCATAAACTGATCAATGCATGATATATTTCAATTCACTGGCTACATTCACAGACTTCGGCAGAGTATATTTGAATATATCAAGAAATTACTCGATATAATTTTATCATCGCCAAAAGATAAAATTATCTTTTCTGACTTCGATATCTAAACATTGAATGATAGCCGATATTTATCGAGCATAATCTGATGCCAAGGTCTGGCATGAAGCCCGACAATGTGATCTTGAAACACCATATTCATAACTTCTCACATCAACTTCACAGCAACTTCACAGACATAACACTGAAACCCAAACAGCCTTGATTACATGATAATAGAATACATGACGACAGAACTCTAGAATACTGGCAGTGTAAAAGTAATTTGCTTCTCGACTTCCTTGCTTTCTGATTTGAATCGAAAAGTTTCAGACTCAAAACCCTCGGTTGCTTTTCCAATTCATTTCAATACAGATCAAAACTATTAACTATTACTTTTCCCCATCACTTTTGAAACATAGGTGGGGCATTTAGCTTTTAACGCATCCAAGCAAGAAACGATTCGCCAGCGCTGGGAATCGGGCGCTGTCCACGTTCAGTGTCAGCAGCGGTGGCGATCCAATAAAAAGAGGTGGTGCATCGGTAGGAAGGCAAGAGCAACGCAGCGGAGACTGACTCACGAGGAACAAAAGCGAAGGAGAGGAGACCGGAGCGCAAGAGCGGAAGAGGAAGACGACAAACAAACAGCGGGGAGTGAAGATGGTGAGGACGACGATGTATTCGTGGATCACGGACGCAGGACGTCGCAGAACCTGCAATGTGTGCTCCATTTGACGAACACAGAACTCAGGTTGCGATTGGATCAGTTGATCCCCCAACATCAAGCGCGGTTGAAATATTTGAAAACCGAAAACCGCGAATGATAAAAAAGTCTCCGAGAGACTTGTATCTTGTGAAGAAAAATTTGAATAGGAATTTCAAATGGTTATTGAATACCAGCGACACTTTCAAATAGCAATTTGAAAATGAGAGAGTCAAAGACGATTAAGAACAGTAGTTCGAATGAGAGAAACAACGGTCGAGACTTATCTTCGTCGAGTTCGAGAATTAACACTAAGAAGGTTAATTTACTTATGAAATCTTATTGCGTAGTTCTTGTTATATATTATTAGTTAGCATTTGTATCAAACGCAAACTCTTCATCATCCATATCATGATATGTATCACTATTTCTTTTATCTTCAAGATTAAACACCATGTTGTTTATAATAAATATTTTTTAATATTTTAGATAATATTTTCTTCATTTTTAAATATGGAAAACAGAAATTGAACTTTGATGAAATGCAATTGAATTATGATATATGTGCAGAAGACGATACAAGATTCTTGATACAAAACCAATTAAGAAGTATGCTGGTTACAAATATATTTTCCAATATTGTACTAACGGAATTTGTATTGTCTTTGACATTGTGTAAAGTTAAAATAGAGTTGAACTAAGTGACATTGATGAACTCGTAGTGTGCTTGTAATTTTATTCAATAAACATAATAGGTAGGAGGATTTGTGATTTGGTTTATCATCCATTTGATTCTTTTATCACAATTTCAATATTTAGTTGTTTGTGTTTTTTACGACTATTTCAACTTTACAATTGATTTTAGAGGTCCGAGGTTACAGGGAAGTTCTGTTGGTTTGCAAATCCAACTGAATGTATGTGAAGGAAAAAGTACTGTTTGATCAACATGAAAGAAGTCAAGACAAATATTCTATGTTTCGATGAAAAACATTCTGGTTGTTGAAAACTACAATTGATTCCTAAGTTCCATCTTCGTTAAAGGTGTATGTTCCTGGTGCTAATGAGCAACAGTATGTCAGTGTTATAGATGTGCATGGGACAAGGTAAGTTGCAACCATTTTACCAGGTGGATCAAACATATACCCCTCTGCCAAAAATCATTCCCATGTCCATGCATCTTGCAATATTATAGTCTTGGATCTAGCACATAGAGAAGTTTGTTGATGGGAAGTCCCCCTTAAGAGGTCATTCACATCACCTGCAACTGTAATTTGTACTCTAAACCCCTAAACCCTGGCCTAAAACCGGGAAAGCAATTGAAGTCCCCCTGCGAGAATATTGCTGGCCAAATACAACGGAAGCATTGATTTAAAGCTTCAGGATTAGCCGCAACTTGCCTCAACCTCCCGCATCATGAGTGACACGATATACGCAAAGGAGAAAATCGAAAGTTGCGGCATGTGGAGGAATGAAAGTAGAAATGACCTTTGCAATGGCCTTGGAAATTGTGAAATATATACTGTAACCTAAACTCCTATGTCTGTAAGAAACAGTCAACGAATTCCTTGAGGTTGTTTCTGTAGGTGAGCCAACATCGTAAATTGTTATCGGTCTGATCCTACGACCTACAAACTTCAGTATGCTATATCTGGAATGCTTGTTTTTCATTACATTCTCAGCTTATTAAGTCGAATGACATACACTAGAAGAGTACTCAGACCCTTCCGGGAATGAGGGAAATATCATCGTACTCTCATATTGCCAATGATTCTTACACCGAATCCAATGAAGCGAAGGGTGGCACTTTACTCCCATATTATTCAAGCTGAGATTACTAGTGCCCGCCCACTGGTCCACCTTTTCTTTCACACTGGACTGCCTGGCGCCTACTTACCCTTTCTTACAGGTTGTCGCAGACATCACTATGTTTCTGTCAAGAGTCTTTTGGCATTCTGCAGATCTCATCATTTCAGAACTTGAAGAACTAGTTCATGACCTTCTGGCGTGAACTAGTTCATCAGTGAGACCTGCTTTTTCACAGTTTCATAAGCCTTCAACAAAGCTGAGCAGATCCACCCGCCCATCCAAAATATATCCAAATTTGTGGACATGTCAGAAGTTCTTAGAATTCGAAAGATTGATGTTTGTTGCCTAATTGTGCATAACATATCTTTGTCATCACCAATCGCCTCTACCATGAAATTAGTCATTGTTGGGTTTCGTGGACAGTATTCTCCATTTTCTTCAAATTCAATCTTCTGCTTGGAGAAGACTTCATCATGTAAATGATAATAATATGTATAACAGCAAACATTCAATCTTTCTTCTTAAATATGAGAATGAAAATAAGAGAGCAAAGGGGCAGAACGAGCAAGTCTCTTGTCTTGATAGGACTGAAAGCACACACGAGTTTGATTCAACAAAAATCACCGAATCATGCGCATTCCAACCATTTGCATGTCGTAAACTCTTCATTTCAATCAGCAGTCACTGTGAGTGTAGTTCAGTCACCTGCGGAGTTGGAAGCCAATCGCAAACTTCTGATCAAAACTTTCACTGTCAGAACTCTTTATCAAGTTGACACAGATGGAGAACACGAAACGCAGAATTGAAATCTTACCGATCATGGCAAATCTCAGCATCGCGACATTGCTGGTAATTGTCGAGGGTGGAGATTGCCACATAGCCGTGGACATAGCTTTCTAGGCACACCAAGGAAGGATATGAGGGAACGTCCGTAGATTGTAGCAGCATCGGCATTAGCACATGCTGCACGAATGCAGCTTGCGGATCTGTGGAAATCGTCCAAACGACCAGAACGCACAGACAGTCTTGTTTACGTCGACGTGGATGCAGCAGAGTAGCGACCTCCGCTTCACTGGAGAAAAGTGGCTGGATAAGTGCAGGCGTCGTTGTCGTCTGCTCGGGGCCGACGTTGCTGAGCATCACATCACGCAAGCGGAGATGTGATGCTCAGCACCGTGATCGTGGTCAAACAATCAAGTGCATGCCGATGTGTTGCAGTGCAGAGCAGGTCCGAACCAAGGAACTTGGATTTCTGAAATCGTCCACGCTTCCACTTTACACGAGCAAGTGCAACATGTACCCGAAGCTGAGAAGGGCAAGTAGCTCAGGGCTGAAGGCCTCACGTTTAAACTTTGAGGATCACGGTATTAGATTCTACTTCCTGCCCAAATCCTGTGCAGTCGGATATTCTCAAATTCTCATCCTTGCCCAAGGCCCAATCCTCTTAACAGGAATTCGTCCAGTAAGACAAAGTTTTGCATCGATCTAACTGTCCTCATTTTTTGTTAACACCAATGAAGCCATTATCCCATCACTGAAAGGAATCTTAGGCTCTTGCAGACATGGACAAAGCTAGTGCACTTCCAAGGATTTGACACCAGAATATACAGTGATGCAACACCAACCATATGTTACTCAACGAAACTTGAATCGTACTGTTGCTAAAATCACTCGATGAACGTGTCCGGCCGTTCTCTACGTAATCCAATTCAAGACTCGAGATGGTAGAACGTACTGCAGAATGAGAACGACGGGTGATCACTCATCTGTAATTCTTCCTCGGAGACGGAACTAAGGAGGGGCCTATATCAAACGATGACATTCTTCCCAACTACCAAATCAGCACCTCGATGCTCTTGCCAAAGCTTTTTCTTCTCTATGCTGTACTCTTTCTCCCAAGGCGTGCGTGCCTGCAAGGGATAACAAGGAATGCCAAGAATTCAATTCTCTGTATGAGCTGATCCAGGCCGTTCCGCTAACAGAACACGAAGAAGCGTCGACCACGACTTTTGGTACTCTTGGCGCTTCTTTGTTTGCGTTTCATCATCGAACATTTCCTCACCCTTCGACTTTGACTTCTGTCAAAGTGATAGCCTACATTCATGCGAGCCAGTACTGCAGTGACTTCATGACTAAACCACGCACAACGAACTCGTAGATGCAGAGGCAGATGTAAAAGCCATTCTACTTTCACGATATTGTCTTCAGATGAACCTCCATATCTGTAACTGACCCAAAGGTACAATCTACAAAATTGAACCTCGGTCAAACGAGAGAACGGTCAATCGCAGACAAGTGCTGACCTTGTCGACAGTCTCCGCACGCATAACCACTTCTCACGAATCGCCCCAATTCATCAAAAAGATCTACTAGGAAGACAGTTCATGTGATCAGTGTGAGGTAGTTCCAGAGGAGCCCAACCCTCTTCGCTCAGCATTCAGGGACAGAAACTGACAGTAAGAAACGTGAGCATGTGAGCCAGTCAATGGTCCTTACGCTCTGACAAGCACATGCTATTTACTGCAGTGGTCTCTCACAGTCAAGATATTCCAGTTCGCTTGTATCCCAGTTATTTGGTCCTTGTAGTGCCGTGATCGAGTATCACTCTATACGTTCCTCGATGCAACCCTGCTGTGTTCAAGCCACAGGCGAATGCTCCCAGGAAAGAGTAACCTCCAAAGGATCCAAACAAGAAAGTGAAGATCTGTTGAAGAAATAGATCTTCTGCTCAGCGTCTTTCTTCGCAATCTCGCCCGTAGCCAGATTTTCTGCAAGCTTCGAAGGTCGTGGTACGGTGACAGGAAAACTGCGTCATTTCTTTCTCATTTGTTACGATTTAGCTGTGAATGGAATTTACATCCGTAAAAACCGGGTTTCCAACTGAAGTTGCAGACACCTCTTCATAGTCCTCTCAGATGTCATAGATTCTATGGTTGAGGATTCAAACAGAAACATGTAGCATGCTAACTCACAGGCTTCACATGATCTTACGTTCACAGTGGTCACTTCGAGCAGATTAAAGCCATTAAGCTGCAATATTGTAACGTTCCAAAGTAGAAAACCTGCCGTGAAAGTTTTCAATATTCAAACAAAATACAAGAACATGGGCATCGACGGATTATCTGATAAGCAACTCACTCTGACATTTGGCTGGGCCGGACTTTTATTTACGAGATCAAGATGCGCTGAGGAACCATAAACAATAACATGACCATGAAATGAATCATCAAAGGTCGAAGAGCCCAATAAATTTTATACGACAGGCACGTCTTGCGCCCGTACTTAACACTTTTCAGGACAAAAGATATGAACAACGTCCATACCGCAAAAAGATACATGAAAATTGTGTGGAGACAAGTATCCATTGTACATACATACAGAGGGACACACTGCCGGATATCCAGCCAGGTGATGTTTCCCATTCACTAAACTTTAACTCTTAACTTGTTTCGGCCAGTCAGGTACTTAGTAAGGCTGCTCCCTCAAATACACTCTTCCCAACGTACGCATGGTCAACTGGCTATGGCCACGCGTAACGAGGTCTGTGTCTTGAACACATCCCCGACGGCATTATCGGCATCTTTCTTTCCTCCTCACCATGCTTTGAGTTTCCAGCTCCACTCCAAGTTTGCATTACAAGATCGGTGTAAGCAAACACACTTGCTTCACGCAGACTTATTAAGACCGTCCTGTACCCCAGCCTATAACTCTATCTCTAGTAAATCCAACTGACTATCAAACTGAGTAGAACGCGCAAAGGCTTCATTAGCCTCTAATGGATACCTCTCCTTCATGTCGTTGATAAGATGTTCCTGGCGGTGGTAAGATTAGATTTCAATAGCAATTCTAACTACCAATCATGTTTTCTGCCGGCCTACCACTGCAAGTTGAGCAGTAGGATAAGGGCTATTTCGCCGAGCAACCTGCTTGACAAGTGTATCCGATATGAAATAATCTGCACCGAGTAAAACTGGATAGGGGATGCACAAGTGCCTCTTCATTCAACCCATAAAGAGCTGATCATAGGGGAGGCTAAAAGAGGTTTCTCCTGAAAGATCTAGTAGTGGCTTGGTAGGTGCGAACGAGTAAACCGACCCCTATGCCAACTCCCAAGCACATCCCCAAACCGATGCCAACTCCGACTCTGACACCTGTACCGAACCAGGAATCCGCTTCATCTCCTTCACCGTACCCATTGGGGTCAAAGCTTCCAAATCTAGCCAGCGCCTTGTCGGCAAAATTGTAGCTTCCCTCATCTCTTGAGACCTGCCCACCAAGATAAACACCCGAGATTAATATGAGGTATGGCAATATGCAAAGATGGAGCATGACGAATGAGAATATGAGAGAAACCGACCAGTACTACAGAAAGACCATTTAGACCACAAGCAACATACAGCTAACCATAATATGAGATCTGCTGACATAAAGACTGTAAAGAATATGAAGTCAGCCATCTACTGTAGATAATATGTTGATGGGATTTGCGCTCTACACTCCCCATCAACGCTGCTTACGCGTCGGCGAACTTACCTATGTCTGACTGACTGTGTACATACTTAAGCAGGAAATTTGGGTCATTCTTCCGTACACAACAAGGATGACAAGCATCTACAACACTCTCACACATTTCTCCCCACAATAAGGGGAAGAATGCAAGTGATGATGGGCACAGCCATCAAATTCAAGAATTCCAAAACTCATTTTTCTTTGAAAGCTGGTTCGACGACCAACAGTAGAGTCAAACCAGGCAAGAGCACAGATAAAGGTAGAGCTCATCAAGACGAGCAGAAACACTAGCACTGCTCACTAAGAAGCTAAGACCCAACCTATAAGGCCACAACAGTAGATGACTACTAACGAACTGTCTTACCTGTTCGGGTTGGCCAGCCAGCAGAAGATCACTAGGAATTCTTTCGCCTTCTTCTCCTTCGACAATGGAATCCAAAGTATTCCGCCGAACCATTTTTCTTCGTACAGTCAACTGGACAACCTCAGTTAGGATGACGGGTAAGGCCGAATACCGACCAACCACGCACACTTCCATCGTCGGGGGGCTCAGAACGGCCGTGGAAAACTCCTGTCTCCCTTTCAAAAACGAGCAACCGGGAGATGTAACTGCACAATTGAGATCCATCTTCCAGCCGAGTTTTATGCTCTTGGAGAGCGTGCTCATCGACCTATCGCGGTCGTCGCCATCGGTGTCAATCTTCGGGTCTGACCGTTCTAAGTTGCCACAAAGAAGCAGCTGCTCTCTATCATAAACCTCAAAAGATACGCTTCCGCTGGCCCTAAGATTATCCGTGCTCACGTAAGTTGCTTCCGAGGACTCGGTGTCGACTCGATCTCTACGCAAGGTAAGTTTCAGCTCTTCGGAGGGAGATATCCTTCCACCGTTAGCCTCGAGGGCAGTGGAGATGTCTCTCGGTGGATAGCGCATGGTCAAAACCTCCGGAGCATCATCCAGCGGACAAGAGGTCACCCTCACATAGAAAACTCTCACATCGAACCACCCGACTACCGGTGTTTTGAGAGCGTAGCCGAAATGATCGCCCTTGAATCCATTCCTGTTCTGCCCAGCAGACTTCTCTGCTCCGAGCCTCGGGCTACTCAAAGCTTCATTCATCTCTTATTCCTCTAGTAGCGACGAGATCTTATAAATATGCGTAGTCCTTTCGAGTCACCAGCCCCTGCTGCACTGACTAGAGCCCACAATCGAGCCCTCCCTTCTGTAATTCACCTTCTTTCTTACTGCTATTCCGAATAACTGCTGCATTCCCACGCCCTTCGTTCCAGCCTAACCCGCGCCGTTCCTCGGTTGATTTCCACGCACAGACCACTACCCTCGCAATCTCGAGCACCCCATCCTCCCTCATTCTTTTTCCACAATCCCCCTCCACCCAGGAACCCAATCAGCACCAAGATAAGAAGAAGAAATCCACGAACACCGCAGCGCCCTGCACTCGATTGCGGTTCACACCACGCCGAATATTTCAGTTTCGCTCCCAGAGGTTGGCCGCCACAGAGTCGCAGCAACACTACTCTTCCTCCTCCTCCTGCTCCAATCCACGACCGACACCAAATCTCATCCTCAAATGGCCGATCGATCGATAGACACAGACACTCTGAGAGAGAAAGAGAGAGAAAGAGAGAGGGAGAGATATTGAGATTGAGATTTCCGCCTCACAAGGAGCACTTCAGCAAATTACTGCTAAGAATGACAAGAAAGATCGAATCGTGTGCTCCGACGCGAGGGTATAGAGAGATCTGAAGAGAAAGAAAGAGAGATGGAAGGGGGACAGATGCGGATCTTGGCGTGCGAGTGCGAGTGCGCTTCCGAAATGGCCATCGCTCGCCAGCCCGTCCTCCTCTTCCTCCTCCTCCTCTCTCTCGCCGGGCACCGAAGACGAAGCAGAAGGCGAGCCCAAGAGCGCCCGTCGCATAGCACCGAGACGCATTAACCGACGGCCGGCGAACCCGCCGCCGGCGAGGCCCGGGCTCCCGTCGACATCCTCTGAATCTCCCGCCGTTCGTCGACACATCACCAGCACCGCCCCCGAAGCGTCGCTCTCCCTTACGTGGTTACCCTCACCTTTCCTCCCGACGCGTGTTCGGTCCGGCCTGGGCTCCATATTATTCAGCCGGCTGGGTGCTCGACGGGATATTTTGTGCGGCTTTCGGGCGAAGGGACTCCCCGATCTTTCAGCTTTAACGTGGTCGCTGTTTTCGGCAGAGGACCGGCTACCTGGTAAATATCGTAGTGAGCAACGTTGACCCTTCAGATTTTCAATCCGACGGCCAGTATCTGCGCGCAGACATTCTCTCGTCTGGGGAGGTAGAGGTACCGAGACCTCGTCCACTGCAAGGGCCGGGTGAAAAATATTTTCCGCCGCGTTAGGATATATTAAGACACTTGAGCCCTGGTCGAAAATTCCCAGCGAAAAGAAGGGGCAGACCCAGGGATGGAACCAGAGGAGAAGGATGGGGTTGAAGTAACCGCTGGTTGGCATCCGCGCTGGTGATTCTCACCACCCGCCGGTTTCTTATGGACGGAGACTTCCTTCGAGAATTGTTCAACACGTTTTATCCGAACGGGGTTAAGTAGATATTATGGAATCTAATTACTCGGTTAGACAATTTGTTGTGCTTATACTTAACTTAAGTTAAGTACGATTAAGTCGTGCGAACATGCGTACGCGGGCGATTCGCTGAGTGTGAGGAGGACGAGGTGTCAACTCCCTCAGTAGGGATCGTTTTCTGTAGGAGCATTGGAGACGCGTGCCGCCCTTCTCAAGTCCTGGATTGAGTCAACTTGAGTTCAGTTGGGTTAGGTTGGGTAGGCAAATAAAGGCGAGTTCGACCGTCCTTCGACAATCCTTCCGTCCTCCTCACGTTTGTACCATTCATATTTTCCCTCTGTCAATTCTTTTGTAATGCTGGACTTCAGAGTCTCCTGCAATAGATATTTCTCATTTGCTTCTATTTCTACATTGAGGAAATGATGTTTCAAGTACATAATTAACTATCCACTGCAGTACATGTGACAAAAATTCACATTCGAACTCTCCAATTATTTTCCTCCCGCACTTACATCATACACTATGTAAATTTCAAAGTGCTCTTAAATGTATGTGCTACAAGTCACTAGATCAAAGTATACATTTATAACAATCAATAGCCAAATTACTTTGTTGAAGGTAACGAGAGTCATGAAATGTAAATCTTCTTTGATTAATCTCAGTAAATGTCCTGATATTTCTTGGGGCTTGAGGATCGAAATGACTATAGCAAAATTTAATGTAATCACTAGGATGTGTCTCACACTGCTACTATTGAGATGTAAAATTTTGTTGAAAATTTGAAATCATAACAATTTTGGAGAAATTTTTCAAAATATTATGTGAAATTCGATTCACATAAATCTCAAGCGGATAAAACCTAAGAATTGCACTAAAATATAGATAAATTTACAAACTAGTCAAGATTATATATAGATTGTATACGAGGATAGGTTGTATTTGATCTTGATAACTATAATCTGAAGCCTATAATTAAATGCAACTCAGTAATCAAGAGATAAAAAGTTGTTCAATGAGTTCCTCATGCCATAATGTGTATATGATTCTGAAACAATAAAATAAAATAATTAGGTTGACAAAAATAGTAGAAAAACAAGCTTCGTGATAAGCCGTGGTAAATTCTTAAACTCTTAAAAAATTAAATTAATATTAACCAGAAACTGCCTATAGAATGATGACTCTTTCATGTGAAAAAAATTCAAATAAAAGGAAAATAATAAAATCGAAGAAAGATCATATGTAACAACTGTGTCAAAAAAACATTCCACAATCTTCGTTATCCTCCAAACAAACGTTTACATTGTGAAACAATATTCTCAACTTGATTTAGAAAAAAATCATAATGTACAAAGATATCATCTCACAACCTCACGAGTTAGAAAAAAATGATGTTGGAAGATTTTCCAGGCTCAGTCTATAACTAAAAGGAAGATTATAAGAGAATTCAGAACCAACTGGTCTCATAACCCGTGATTTTTCTCATCGCCACAAGCAATCTAGCTTGTAGCAATTAATAAATTTACAGCTAGGTAAACCTTCTTCCAATTTCAGTCACCCATCTAAGAAAAATAAAATGATTCACTTTTGTGATTATCTGACTGAAATCAGCTTCTGACATGATATACAACATCCCGTACAATGCCAAAAAGGACAATAAAAAAATGAGCACAAAACGTCAAATCCCAAGATATGTAAAAGAGACTCAAAGTACTAGAGGTGCAAAATAATCTGTGCCCGAATGGAAATGCTGGTCCATCTAATCCTTTATCTCGATGAACTCTGCGGTCGACGAAAAGGTCCAAAGTAAGTCTTCGGAGTAGGTCGATTCCAACAAGCAGCTCTCATGACTTCTGTGAACATGAGGATAAGCATAGGTCTGCAAGTCTTGGCACAGCGACATTCAAACACACAGCACATCATGTGGAATGTACCAGAAATCAATATGTTACTCAGATCTCTTCGTGCTGGCCACTGCAGCCAGTGCCTGTGATACACGATCCCACATGCAGCATCATGCCAACCGCTTGCCAGACCTTATCCAATTTCATGCAAAAGTTGCAGCAAAAGCTGCCCATACTTCTACACACTTGCAAGACTTGTTCGTGCCCAGCCTCGAGAATATAAATGTGTTCCTCAATTCACACTTTCCACGCCTACGTGCTTGCCTATCACAAAGCACATAATGCGACCGGCATTGTACTTTCCTCTGTCCGAACCACACACCATGAGTCAACCTCAGGAAGCGCATTCGACTATATGTGTCAGATATTATTTGTTCGGATAAAGATTCCAAATATTGCTCCTTAGATGGGTCAGGGATTCTGCTAATCTAAGCCTTGATATTCTTTTCCCCATACTTTCTTGGCTTCTGGGCTTTTCTTCAAAGGGTTGGCTGGACTAAAACCCCAAATCTACGCGTTTGAGGAACACCCGCTTCAGGAGTGAAGCTAAAAAATTCAACGTCTCCCCAACTTCATGTCCATAACATGGTAGGTTTCCCAATAGGCACTCTGCTGCAACCACGTAGAACGTGCTTATTACAGTATTATCACAATCACTTTCAGCCTCACCGGACTGTATACTGCATTTGGAGCTGTAACTTTAAGCACATGAACGATATGGTTGGATTCGACCGTGACCCCTTTCTGGTAACCACGTGGACACTTCCCTAAGGTTGTCGTAGTCAATGGCATTTCTGGAAACTTAACTTGAGGAAGTAGTTGAACATCGTCACATCTCCAGTTCATATGGCTGGTCTCGAAGAAGCCGTCCATCACTTCGTGTATATCTCCATGTGCCGTTCATACTGCACGTATCTCGTGTCAATGGACATTATCCCTATGCAGTGGTCACACACGATGCATTTCAAGCATGCAAAGAGATGCATCTTTCTCTTATTTAATTATAAGACGTGAATCTGTTTCGACAGCTGGTCAGGCAAGACATGCAACCACGTTGTCATCACATGCGAACGCATTGCAGTATGACGGTTTGAACTCCTTCTGATACGTTCACACCGTTGAGAGTTGAGAGATTAAGATATCTTCGGTGTTATTGAAATTATCTGATGCTACAAGTGACATAGACAATGACTAACTAATGGGCAAGACATGGGCATCCAGATCTAATTGTGGTCAACAGGAATACACAACTTTGTTTCAATTTTGATGGGTTTTTCTCCTTTTCATAATCTAGTTGAAAGTGCGCCCGTGCTCCCAGTCAATGACCTGTCCGTCGTGTCCCAAGTATTATCAAATAAAACAAGTTTGAGGCTCATAGACCCAACCCACTACGTTCACTACCCAGCTTGCCACCGCGATAGATGCCGATAGCAGAATTCAGCAAGTTTAATGAGCCATCGACACACAGAAACATTCCTTTCCACATAGAATGAAAGAATTTGAAGCGTAGTTGAGTATCATGATAAGCCATCCACACATCAAAACTAAATATTCTGGATTACATCTATGATCGAGAAGGCTATATGACAAGTATTGAAAACTTACTGCACGTTTGTTAATATAGAACGGTAAATATGATTCTCTTTCACATTTACATTTTATGGATTGACTTGACTCAAAAATTTTATAATAATCTCTCTCCATGCTAGAATCATATAATCTCTCTCCATGCATGAGGCAACGATATTTTCATCTTTCTCCTATTAAACGCATTGCATCTTTCATGCAATATTCATTCAGCACGACTTATAGTGAAACTACTGAGAACTAGCTTGTATATTCATCGTGGTTGAGATATATATTAGATTGGTATTAATTTACATATCCGAGTCTTGTGATAAATTACTCCAACATGTTTGACATCCCCATCGGTTTCGGACTCTATACCATATCAACAATTTACAGCAGAACATACATTGTTCTGGTTATAAGCAGTTAGATAAACAAAACGTTTTAGTTTTTCTAAATAAAACGTTTTGATTTATGTTTCGATCCTTCCATCAAACTCATTATCCTCGTAATTAATACTGTTCTGAAATGCTGTTCGCGAGAGACCCTTTGCTCCTTGCAGCAAAATCATCTTCGCTGGTGCTGGCGCGTCCCGAGTGGGAGGAAGGATGCCAAGTCAACCCTCAAGATAGAAGCGCGTGGGATGGCGGGATACATTCGAAGGCAGCGCAAGTGGCGAGCATTTTAGCCGGAGCGCTCCCATTCCCGTGTGTTCGTAAGCTAAAGATGGAGTGTTGGCTACATTGGCCGAGAAAGTAGCACAACGCAGTGCCGTCTTCTCGGTCGTGGCAATCTGGAGGCGAAAAATAGAAGTTCCGCACAGTGGAGGAGATGTTGGCAGAGGTTATA